CCCCAAAACCCCAAAACCCCAAAACCCCTTATATTCGACTTTTATTTGAAGTAGAAAATTAATTAAAATGCTTGTTAATTTGTTAGGTTCATATTTTCACAAGAGCCTAAGTGGATGGTTGAGAGATCACATAGAAAAATTTCTAGAAAATTTCGTGGAAGGAATAAATGCAGACCAGTTCAGAATGAGTCTGTCCAGAGGAGTTATTGATCTCAAGAATTTATCCATCAAGCCTACTATCTTGGACAGCATACCTCTCCCTTTGAAGATTAGATATGGTAAAGTAGGAAGTGTATTTGTTGATATACCTGTCACAAGTATCCTTTCTTCACCCCTTAAAATTGAGATCAGAGATATTTTCATACTGATCAATCCCAAAGATGTCAATGAATGGAATGAAGAAGACACTAAGAAAGAATTTATTGAGGGAGTCCAGCTCCAACTTGAGGCACTTGAAGACATATTCAAGGCCCAACTTGAGATCCAGAACACTGAACCAGGGATGTGGGAGAGTATGAAGATAAAGATTTTAGACAATATCCAGATTGATATTAAGAACATTTGTTTCAGATTCGAAGACTCAATCTCCAACGAGAAGACGTCTTACGCTTTAGGAATCAATCTTGAGACTATCCAGCTGTACACATGTAATGAAGATTGGGAGAGAGACTTTGTTTCAGGAAAAGATGTAAGTCAGCAGAGTTTTATTTAGCAAGTCTTAAAGTCTTTACCACCAATCCATCCTAAAATGTATATAGATTTCTCTCAAAATGGCTAAGATCACGAACTCCGAAATGTACTTGAACTACTGTGACAAAGGAGACGAAGACGATAGCGTCAACTTGGGAAATCTTGAAGAGGATATGGATCCCGGAAAGATTCTACAAGACTTACTTAAGCGCAGCAAACGAAACAGGAAGTTGATTGAGAAGTTTTGTATCGAAGCCAAAGTCAAGTTTAATAAAACCCTCAAGAAGAACAGCAAGCCCATGGTAGACGTCAACCTCGTCATTGGTGGTAAATTTATGGAGGAAAGGAAAGATATAATCGCCTCTGAAGAGAGAACTAACTTCTTCAGGCTTCAAAAGCAACAAATGAACTGAATCTTGAAGTACTTGGATTATTCAGCCAAATACAGAGAATTCAAAACTGAGGCTCAAAAGAGCTTCCTTGCTAAATAAATTCAGGAAGGAGGAGTCCCAGAGATACATGACTCTATACGAGGAGTACAAGAGGAAAGCTGGTGATGACAAGAGAATAGAAGAGCAAGAGAAAGTCGAAGAGCTTCGAGGAGAGATGAGTAAGTGTCCCTATTCATTACATTGACGGTTATGCATTCCAATACTATTCCTTGCTGGTATGATGTATTTAAAATTTGAGATTTAACCCATACCTATAGAGGAAATTGAGGAAAGGTATGCCTATGAGACCATTGCAGCCTTGAGGCAAGCCGCCACCAACAGGTACAGCCTCGACCCTCAGAAGGCACGAGAGAGAGAAGAAATGTGGAGGAAGATAGAGAGGTTCGAATATTCCAAGACTGAAGGTGTTTTATCCTTATTGTTGTTTCCTTTCGGAAGGTCTAAGGCTCAAAATCTCAAAGATAAGCAAGATACCAAGGAGTTCAGAGACAAGCTAATCCGAGAATTTGAAGAGAAATATAAAGATGAAGAGGAAAAGATAGATGAAGCAAGTGAAAATTTATTTGAAATTGGATCAAGGTTCAACCAAGAAGCACTCAGAGTCATGCCTGATGAATGGGCTCAATTCTTGGTTAATGTTTTTATCCCCAAGCTCAGAATTGCCTTGCTAGAAGATGACTCTTGGGCTAAGAAGGGAAAGGCCATCATGGAGATAGAAATGGTTGACATGAGGACTGATGCACAAATTGGACAAAATTGGCAAAAGATAGATATCTCCTTTGCAAAACTCAACTTCATCGATAACATCACTGAGAACACCACTGGAAGAGATATCTCGCAGTCTATTGTTAACACTATCTTCTCGGAGAACCCATACAATGATGGGAAGGATAGCTTAAAGCTGCACTTTGAAACCAACCCTAGATTCGAGGATTGGGAAGTGAAGACAAGACTTTACTCAAAAATAAGCCAACATATCTTTGCTCACATGCCACTCGTCAAGGAGCTCCAGGAGTTCTTTGGTGCAGGAGAAAGCTCTGAGGAGCTAATACCTAAATCATCAAAAATGCAAGAAAATTTAGATGACCTCAGTCAGCTCTGAGACTATATTCAGAAGAGAGAAACTCAAGCTCTAGAGAGTCACTTCGAGATTTGTAGGAACCATAGCGACTCTTCACCATTTGATAGAGAGATGCACCATAAGTTCGTAAACTACTCTTCGAATAAAGGAGAACAAGATCATCAGAAATTGATGATTAATTTGCAGATCATTCAGATATTGGTTGGAACTATCAACAAGGACTCTGAAAGCGTAAAGGGACTAGACAATCTAATACAAGCAACTCACAGTGAGGCTTTCAATGACATTATTGAAAACTACAAAGAAGTTGAGCTTATCAAGAATTCAGAAGATGCTCTGAATGTTTCTGGGGATCATGTCTTTGAACTTTTAAACTCTCTTAGAAACATCCCAGGCAAAAACCTGAGTCAGGGCCTTAGCAAGGAGTCTCAGTACAACTTCATGTCCCAAGTACAGAAAGATGTAAACGAAAGATACCTTCAAGAAGCTCAGTTTGGTGCTGAAATGGACAAAACCAGTGATTACAATTTGCAAAGATCTATTTCTGACTTATATGAAGAAGAACAAATTTATCAGATTTTGAAGGAGACACCCAGCTTCATAAAAGAGGAGCCCCAAATGACTGGAACCTCCAGACGTTTGGCCGATCAGGACCAAGCCTTAAGATCCCAGCTTCCTGATTCTCCCGAGCACGAACACCTAAAAGATTATGAGGAAGAGAAAGGAGTCAGTCTTCTCCAGACTGAGGCTGGCAGGTCTGACGCTCATTGATTTCCAGTCGAATTTAAAGAAGATCACTTTTTGCCTAATTTTACTAATCCTGATAAAGAAGTAGAAGGCTTTTCAGGCGAGAACTATAAATCTTGAAAAAGTGATTTAGGCTCGGTCTCTGCTACTAATGATTATGTCTTTGCTGTATCTAAGCCAAGCTGGGCTTGCAGAGGCATTCAGAATGAAGCCAATAATTGATTCATGATAGTCACCCTCCAGATGCTCTTCTCCGTCCCTGAGTTTACCGAGTACTTAGGTGGAAATAACCCAGACATAGATTCAGCTATTGGAGATTTACCAGCTTTAAACTTTAAGGAGATGCTCAACGGAAAGTCATTTACTTATGAAATGGCTAAGTTAAGTAAAGATTATTTTAAACAAGAGACTTCAATGACAAACATTGAGAAGTTGAGATCCCTATCTGAAAAAGAGTTTGGTCTGAACGAGCACCATGATGCTAGTAGATATCTGCTTCATTTGTTTGACAACTTACAGAATGAACAGAGTCTTGCTACAATGTCATATTTATCCTCAAATGATGGCCACTCTGCCAATTCATTACAGAAACTACAAGAATCTTATAATTCCATAATTGATGAACTCTTTATGGCGAAGAATAGGATAGTCATTATATGCAAATCATGCAGTATAATGAAAGAGATTTATGAGGAGTTCAATATGATTCCTGTTCCAATAAAATATGGAATCGATGGACCAACTATTGATAATTTCTTTGAAAATTCAGCAAAGATCTATTTATGGAAGCCTGAAAGATCATTCTGAGGCAATCATGACACTTGAACTATCACGGAGAGGATAGTCAAGGCTCCGAGATATCTTCTGGTGTCTATCCAAAGGTTTTACAAAGATTCTCATGGTTCTCAAAGGAAGAATGAAGATATTGTACTATACCCCAATGAATTCACTTTGGAAAATTATGTAGAAACAGAGACCAAATACAGCCTAAAAGCTGTGATTTGCCACTCTGGAGACCTAGACAGTGGTCACTATTATGCTTATTGTAGAAGAGGCCTAGACTGGTACTATTTCAATGACGAAGAAGTTTACCAAGTCAGATACGATGAAGTTGACCCAAAGAATGCTTATATGCTGACTTATGAAGCCCAAGTATAATATATATCAATATATCTACACTACCTCGGGGTTTTGGGGTTTTGGGGTTTTGGGG